CTGAGGATGACCAGGTCTTACTGGTCTTAAGTCAACTTATCACTACATTGCACTGGCATTCAGCAGTGGCAAATACCATCACATTGGAAAAGGTGACATATGTCAAACATTCAGAAAACATGCATTGTTATTGGCAGGCCACCAGTTAGTATGCACCAGGATGTGTCCACTGTGTGTCCCTGTGTGTTTACACAACATGAAACTCTGCTTCACCATATACTGCTTCAAATACAGGTGTATATTCTGGATCCCAGTCTGAACTAGATATAGTTGCTTTCCAGTTTTTGCCTTGGTTTTATTGTTGTTTAATTGATTGCATTTTATATGAGGCTGCAGCAAAATGTTGAGGAAACTCAGAAACCGTAGCAGCAATGTCTTATTTCCTCTGTTGTAGGCGTGATGCTACAACGATTGTCACACAGATCAAAAATGCATGAGCTGAGATATAACTCAAGGGACAACATAGTTCAGAAACAATAGATTGCTACTATCATTGGGTGAAGCAGAGATTCTAGTAGTGTCTCACATTACAGGTAGAGCTTATTCCGCAGGGGCTTAGGGGAGATGAATGACTAAAATGTCTGAAGAAAACTGTAACTTATTTCCTTTTGTAGTGGGCTTGCTTCAGCGGCTGATGTCTATTGCTTCAGCAGATTGGTTTTATGTAGCTGACAGGTGGGCAGGTGTCGAGATGGATTTTGTCTGGGCCTTTTTTGTTGTTTCATTTGTAGCTTATTTTAAAAGGCAGGGTTGTATTCATTTTGCTATCATCAGAAGTTGCCGTTTGTGTGGGGAATAAGAAGCTTGGGAGGAAATCAAAGCACTGGAAGAGAGCAAACTGGATTTCTGTTGCTCTGCCTCTCCCCACATCCCCATCCAGCCCTGTTTGAGGGTTTCTCCTTTCTGTCCTTTTCTCTGGATTAACACCTATAGTTGCCTTCCAGTAAAAGTAAATTATAATATGTGGGGTGAACCTACTCTCAGCAGCCAGAAACATCATAGCCAGACACTGGAGAGACCTGTAAGGAGTAAGCATGGACTAATGGCATCAAATAGTATGGGAAACAGCCTTATTAGAAAAACTAAGCAATAATCTAAAACTGACATGGGGACAAATAGAAGACGACGCCTTCACCCCGGTATGGCGCCCCTTTATCACATAAACAGCCCAACAAGACAACGACAAAAATCCGCCAAGAGCATACGAATTAATATGGCTAACCTGATACAAACACAAACACACACACACACCACTCAAATATGAAAACAAAGTTCACCACAGCCAATCACAAGCAAACAACCACACCCTAGGCCAACCCCAACCTCTCTTACCTCCAAAAGAACACAAGCGAATAGCAAAGAGAACCTGCACAAGCGACGCTGATACAAAATCCCACACATACATTAAGTAGAATAGAAACATCACCACCCAACCCCACCCTCACTCATCATGCACCCTCCACCTCTTTCCCCCTTTTCTTCCTAATGTAACACTAATGTCTCAACAAATGAAACTGATCTGTAGAAGATGTAACTTGAAAAAGGAGACATTGCACATACAGTGGTACCTTGGTTTAAGAACAGCATAGTTTATGAACAACTTGGATTAAGAACACTGCAAACCTGGAAGTAGGTGTTTTGGTTTGTAAACCTTGCCTTGGAATAAGAACATGTTTCGCTTCCTGTTGAGTGTGTTCCATTTGTAAATTGAGTCCCCTGCTGCTATGGGAAAGCACGCCTTGCTTTAAGAACGCTTTGGTTTAAGAATGGACTTCTGGAACGGATTAAGTTCGTAAACCAATGTGCCACTGTACTTTTGTTAACCAAGAAATATTTAATAAACAAACAAACAAAAAACAAATCAGCATTCTTATCCAGACTTTAAAGCTGCCTAACCCAACCTGGTGCCCTCTAGATGTTTTGGACTACAGTTCCCAACTTTCCTGACTACTGGCCTTGTTGGCTGGAACTAATGGAAATTGTAGTCCCAAAAATTCAGAAGGCACCTGGGTTGGAAAGGCGGACTTAAAGGGTTCTTAACCTGCTTGCGGCACTTAGACTTACACATACAATGAATTGCTCCCTGCCCAGAGGATTTATAATTCAAGTACAGTGGATAAGGTAAAGCTGAAAAGAGCACAGGCCTTACAGAAGCAATATGGAGGATCAGGAGGGTTAAATGATAGCAGGAAGTACGAAGAAGTGAGGCCATGTTGATTCAAGAAGAAAATGAAACCTGAGGTAAAACTTTAGCTGTTTGGTGATGGTTTTTTTGCTGTGTTTTGTTTGTTTGCAATCAAAAAGGCTGAGAGGCAAAGTATCATGGAGAGAAAGGTTGTTAGTTTACATATATGAACAATCACATTCATTGAAGTGTGCTCTTAAGTATGGAGATCTCAAGTAGTACGTTTATTAAAGATCACATCCCTAGAGCACTTTTGCCTTCTGTTATCACATTATCACCATCCTCCTCTTCCTAACTGGATTGCCTAGAGCAAGGGTCACAAACATGGCATTAATGGATACATGTGTACCTCAAAAGGCCTTCACTGAGGCCTGCAGAGTGTCTCCTACCCTGTGAAATTAGGTTTGAAAGAAACATTCTTTTTAGCCAATAGACATGGGGGTGGGTGGGTTGGTGAGAGAGAGAGAGAGAGAAGGATAGACAATTTCCTCAGTTTGCAAATGTGTCCATGGGCCCAAAAAGGATGGCAATCATTGGCCTAGACAGTTGTCTCACTGTTACAATTATATTATTTTGGACCTTTTCTCTATGTGTTATCACCGTGCAATTATCCTTTTTGAATAATACATTACTATTGCCTTCCTTTCGGCTTCCCCACAGGTTTGTAGATAAAAGGTCAATCAATCAAACCATATCCTAATTCTCATAGCTAAATTGGTTACCAGATTATTCTAGCCATGGAAAGAGTCTTCATATGCATCTAGGGAAAGAATTCCACATAAAAATAGTGCCAAATCTCTTTGAATCACTTTTCCTTTTGTAAAAGAGCTTAAATGCTTTTGGGGAGTTTTGCAATGCCAGTTGGATAAATGAAACAAAATTAAAGCAGAAAAAAACAGCTGAATATTTAAAGACTTGGTGATTGAGAGAACTATTTGGTTATTTAATAGCCTCCCAAGGGAAGTAGTAGAAGATTCATTATATTAACCAGGCATCACCTGAGTTGGAAAATATGTTGCATTGGCTTAAAAAAAGATTAATATTCCTGTTATGGACAGAAATTATGCTTCTCACCTTATATAGACATTTGGTAAAGTGAAGTGAGTTATGTAAAACACTCAGGAATTTAGTCATCCTGATGAAACATCAAGTTGCTGAATTGTTGCAAAATAAAACAATTTCCACTCAAAATAGCTTTGAATTCACATGCAGAAGAGAAAATTTCATGTCATTAAGTGCTTGACTCAGCTGAATCACTCTGGAGAAATGATAACATCACATGTTTTCAGATGTGTCACCTAACATCAAATGATTAAATGTGCATCAGTGTCTTACACTAAATGCCCAAAATTTGGTGAACATTGAGATTCACAGGTGAATGTTAGCATTCACTGAGACTGGGGTGGACTTTGGTAATATGACACCCTGTAAGGTAAAGGTAAAGGTACCCCTGCCCGTACGGGCCAGTCGTGACCAACTCTAGGGTTGTGCGCTCATCTCACTCAAGAGGCCGGGAGCTGGCGCCGTCCGAGGACACTTCCGGGTCACGTGGCCAGCGTGACGAAGCTGCACTGGTGAGCCAGCACTCGTGCTGCACACGGAAACGCCGTTTACCTTCCCGCTAGAAAGCGGTACCTATTTATCTACTTGCACTTAGGGGTGCTTTCGAACTGCTAGGTGGGCAGGAGCTGGGACCGAACGACAGGAGCTCACCCCGCCGCGGGGATTCGAACCGCCGACCTTGCGATCAGCAAGTCCTAGGCACTGAGGTTTTACCCACAGCGCCACCCGCGTCCCAACCCTGAGCAAAGCTCAAATGTTATCTGAGCCTGATAAAACATTTCAAATATGTTTCCATATTTGTTTTAATACATTCACAATGTTGTTAATGTACATGTGTCCTCAGAAGCAAGCCCCGTCGACTTCAATGGGACTTACTCCTAGATAACTGTGTGATATAATTGCAGTCTTTTTGTAACATATATACAAAAGAAGCTCTTGATCATTTTTGCCTCACTTTCACTGTAATGCTGCATTTTTGAAGACTGGCCACTAGAGTGCTGCAGGTATCCATTCAATATGAGTTTCTGCAACATTGCTAGATACAGTTCTCAGCAAACATACATTGTAAATAAAGATTGCGGCTGTGTGTTTTAAATGCTTTATTGCTTCTGCTCTGCCCTTCTTGGAAATTAGCTGTAAATGGAGTGGCTGGGGGACACTGGGTTGTTTTTATTGTCTTGTGAGAGTGCAAAACATACAAACACAGAGCAGGGAGAGATGTTTTGTATTGCCATCATGTTTTAAAGAATGTGAAATAAGCAATTAAACACACACAGCGGCTTGTCAGTTGTATGCTCTCTCTATAGCTGTATTGATATAGCTGTAAATAATGGATGTGTGTGTTTTATTAATTAGTTGGTGCTAAGGCAGGGGAGTCTCTCTTTTTGCAAACAATTGGACACCAGTTATGGCTCAAGTAAAATGGTGCAGGGATGTCTGGTGCCCTTTGGGACTGGTAGGGCAGGAGGCAGGAAGGCCAACACTAGGTGGAGCCAGAGTCAATGACAGGTGGAGCCGACGCAGTCTAGTATTGGCCTCCTTCTTGCTGAATTCTGCAAGGGTGACACGGAGCAGGAGGAGAGCTGAGCGTCAGGGCTACTCTTCTGAATTAGTTGTATGTCAGAAGGCAAGCAGGGGGGCTTGGAATAATCAAGACTGTCGGTGGGGCACATAGAATCATAAAACCATAGAGTTTTTGACTTGGAAGGGACACTGAGGATCATCTAATCCAACTCCCTGCAATGCAGGGATATGCAGCTGTCCCATACAGGGATCAAACCTGCAACCTTGGTGTTAGCAGCGCCACACTCTGACCAACAGAGCTATTGCTGTGCCCCTTTCTCCCTAATGGACCCGCCTCCACTGATATGGAAATGAAATTGAAGGCCTTTAAATGCTATGCTCAAGGCTTCAGCATTAACTGGCAAACAAATAATGCCCAGCATAGCTCCTTCTGCAGAGGAAAAATAGGCTTGTGAAATCCTCAAAACATCACCCCTTTCCTTTCTCACCCAACTTTTGAGGTAGATATTTGCAGATACAATCTAGAAACTGATCGAACTCCCCCCCCCCCCGGTTGTAGACGAACTTATATTCTTGTGAAGTAGCATGATGTACATAATTAAGTGCCACGCAGTACAGTTTGTTTGAAAGTCAGCCGGTGAGTTGGTTCTTTTATTCCTGGTCAGGGTCAGGATCCTCCTTGCATAAGTTCAATTCTTTCATGTTGGAAAGCATTACCCATAGGAAATATTTTTAAAGTGGCTAAGGGGTTGCAGGTATTATGTTGAAAGTAGCTAAGAGTAACTGTAATGTGGGTTGTGAGGACAAGTATAGAACTAGCTAAAGGGATTCTCTCTTCAAGAAAGTGGCATTTCATCAAACAGATTTAATGAGGCTGGAAACCCTTTTTCTTATTCCTTGTGAAGTTCGCGAATTTGTGAAACGCATTCCCAGTTGTGCAGTGGGTAACCATCCACTAGTTTGAAGGCAGAGTAAGGCCGAGCCGCTTCTAATTTCACTGGCTATAATCACTATAATACAAGCTGAGAGGGAAGCACCAATGCAAATGGGAAAAGATGAACAAAATCAGCACAGAATACAAATCTTAAAACATCTCAGTCTGCACAGCTCTGCTATACCTAGCCATTGCTGAAGTTACTTGCCTCACATCTTTGAGATACCCTGTAACCATTGTACTGTACTGTAAGTCTACGATTTGGGAGACTAGTGTTCAAATCCGGACTCAGACACAAAGGTTGCTGTGTGAGCTTGGACAAGTATCTGCCTCTCGGGCTAATCTACCTCACAAGATTGTTTTGAGGATAAAATGGATGGGGTGGTGGAGAAGAACTGTGTGCTTCTTTGAGCTCCCGACCTCATTGTGCACCTTCAGTTGATGACTGTGCATCTGAACATGCTTACAATCCTCCTGCAGACCTTTCCACTCAACGCAGGAAGGTTAGGGGTGGAACTGGTGTAAAGTCTCCCAATCCAGATCAGCCTTTACCCTGCCCCTGGATGCTTTGTGTCAAAGAGTCATAGCAACACAATATGATAATTTTACTATCAATGTAATTTAAACGCACATGGGAAGGGGTTTTGGACCTGTGCAGAGTAAGCCCAGACTGCACCCCAGCCATGAATTTGGCAAGCATGGGAAGCAAGTCTTATGGACATATATCCATAGAGTACCTGCATGTCCAGGGAGATATCCTGGGTTTATCCAGCCAGGTACATCATCACCACCATTAGTTAGTTAGTTAGTCACTTTATTTTGCCAGGGGAACCCAAAGCAACTTACAACCAATCAACCAGACTAGGTGGAATGAACCATTGGTCAGATACAGGGTAATTCTTAAATTAATACAGTTAATTGTTGGATCCTGAGCGCCTTCATACTTGGACATTTTGTCTTCCGAACGCCGCAAACCTGGAAATGAGTGTTCCGTTTGTGAATGTTCTTTGGAACCTGAACGTCCGACACGGCTTCCGTGGCTTCCAATTGGCTGCAGGAGGTTCCTGCAGCCAATCAGAAGGCATGCTTTGGTTTCGGAATGTTTTGGAAGCCGAACGGACTGCCGGAATGGATTCTGTTCAACTTCCAATGTACAACTGTATGCAAAATTGATCTTTTCCCTCTTCAGCCCCCATGTGTCTGCTTAGGGATTGGTGTGGGGATTTCAGAAATCCCAGGATTCTGAAGGTACTGACAGAATGAAAAGCCAGGCAAGAGAAAGCTAATAATGATGGTTACAACCCCTCTTTAGCCATGGTCACTGAAAAAGGAGATGTGGGAAGGATAATGTTTGACCAGCAAAAATGCCCTTGCTGGGGGAAAGGAGAAAAACAGGATTGGTGATGAGAACTAGAGCCAAGTTGCCTTTCTCCTTAGTCCATCATTAATTTCCTTTCCGTTTCACATTTCTGAGTGCTAAATTGGCAGTCTCAAATTCTACTGTATAAAGTTAATGAAGGATGTGTCTTTAACTTGCTTGACATCTGGCCTCTCTCTTAATGCCTGTTACTTGCCAAGAAGATTTCTGATTCCTTTAATCAACGGTTCAGAGTTTTCATTCCTTTTTTTAAAACCTCCTAATATTTCTTTTAAAGCTGATTTCTGGATGCTAAAAAAATAAAAATAAGAGAGTGAATATACTTTGGAAAGCAGTGCATTTTATAACAAATACTATGCTGTTTATTGAAAGAATCACCTGCTCATAATTCTGGAATTTGTGCATGTGTGGACATCCATAGTCTAGATGTGATGGCTATGGTGTCCAATCCAAGTCTTCCCATTATCATGGAAGTGCAGCCAAAATGGCCTACCTTCTTCAGTCTACCTCAGTCAGCCCCCACCTGTGTTCCCATAAGTGTATAAAGCTAAATTGCTGGTGTCAAATATGCAGTATTTTTAAAAATACATATAGTAAAAATGTAAATGAAGTCAAAAAGTTAAAATATATATATACACAGAATAGAGTTATATATACTAATAGGACCCAGCTTAAAGATATTAGACTAGGGGGGAAATAGTGACAGTGTTTATGAATAATTCCTGTAGCATTTTCGAGCAAAGCAAGCACCTACCAATTCTGCATCTCATTTATGCTCCCTGAATCCCAGTGAGATAGGTTAGGCTAAGACATAATGAATTGCCCAAGGCCACCCAGGGAGCTTTATGGCTGAATAGCCTCTCAGAAACTGGGTCTCCCATGTCCAAACTGCATCCAACGCTCTATTCACTGCAGACCATGCTAGCCCGCAAGGGATTCTAAGGATAACATTCACCCACATAGAAAGGCTAGCAGAAGATACACGTGCATCCTATTTAATCCTGTTTGGATAACTTTTTCAGAGATAACAAACCTTTCTTTATGCAGAATTGAGGTAAAAGTAGGGTTGCCCTGAATGTTGCTCATGGACATTTTTAGGATGAATTTTGTACTCTTGAGGAGATGAAAACAATCTCTTAAAAAACCCTAGCTTTCCCCTTTTTTCCGCCAGAGCTATTTACAGAGCCATTGTTTTCCTTGGGTTGCTGCTGCTTCAGCATCATTTTCCTCACTGATCTATGCCCCTTTAAGTGTTTCCAGCCAATCAGGGACCACTTTAGGGTGGCACCTGAATGATTGAACTCCCATTTTGGATATGCTTGTCTTACACCTTTGTTGTTTCATTTTAGTCAACCGAGTCAATCTCGTGCTCTCATGCTTTTAAAGGAATTTGAGAGCCTTTTCATTGTCTTTTTTTCCTCCTGCTTTTATCTTTTTTATATGGGTTTTTACCTGCTCACTCTGCTGTTTTACTGCCTTTTTTATTGTGTTCTGTTCTATTGCAGTGTTTTATACGCAAGCCACACTGATACCGTTTCAGTGAAAGGTGGGGTACAAATCCAATGAACAAATAGGTACATAATGAATGCAATAATATTGTTGAGGGCAAATGTTGCTGAGTGAGAACAAAGCTTCCTAGGATGGTCACATGGCCCCTAAATAAACCCAGTGGTCTAACCAATCTGTGTGTTTTATCTTGTCTAAGCTGGCAATGTGCCTGGAAATTGAAGAGAAAGGAGAGCTCAGCTATAGCTAAAGATCTCCCACAACCTATGGTCACAGCATGAAACAGCCTTCTCCTGACCTTCTCAAAGTATGTATCATATTCACTGGTCAACCTGGTCATGAGGCCCAGTGACTTCTGAAGCCCTTAGGAGCCTAGTTTGCCATGGATGGAGTCAGTGACCTATATACATATGACAGATGAAAGTGGGAGATGCTTCCATGAAGTTTAGCTCAGCTGCTTAGACCATGGGGCTGATAATGCCAAGGTTTCAGGTTTGATCCCCGTGTGGGACAGCTGCATAGTCCTGCATTGCAGGGGGTTGGACTAGATGGTCCTCAGGGTCCCTTCCAACGTAGAGTTGGAATTCTATGATTCTATGGAATGACTAGTTCATTTATGGAGGAGATACATGGCCAGCCCTTGTAATGTGTGTTTGAATTGGTTGGGAAAGACCGGTATAGCTGGCTAACCCTGTTCCTGTGATAATTCACACACACACACACACACACACCCCCCCAAGAGTGTAAGATCACACCCCAAGGAAGTGCTCACATTTTGCTTTGTGTGTTTGTCTGCAAAGGAAGTCACACTTGCCTGACTCAATTTGCATTGCCATAACCAGTGTGCGTAGTTCAGCAAGGAACTTGACCACATGCCCCTATTTATAGCATATATTTAAGCATTTTGTCTTATAGCTCTTAGATTGGGAATAAAAAGCAAATGTAAGTGAAACTGGCAACTAGTATTATTATTTTTCGCTGTGGACTGTCTGGATTTTGTCCTTCAAGGAAAGCAAATCCTGCAGTGGAGCCATTTGTTCTACAGTATAATGTGTTTTATAAGCTTTGCTGAAGTAGTGAATAGAAATGAGAGGTTTCAGTTACCCCCTGTAGAGACAATTGCAATCTCATCATCAGCCTGATAACAGTTGATGGTTCTGTGGTCACCTCTCCAGGATTGCGGTTGATACCGATACATTTCTTCTCTGCTGAAAAACTTAACATCCAGCTTTTGTTAAATTTTCCCTTGGCCCAGCTGTGTTGCAGTAGAGAGGATGAAATATATATAGGATAGATGACCTCAAGAGTTATAAAAAATCCCAGGTGAAGAGGATTCTTTGCACGTAAAGGATAAAGGTTTTATCATTTATTTAAAAGAGCTGCAGCCTACCTCTCCAAGAACTGAGGGAACTTCCAGTAAATAAACATTGAAATGGCATTAGGAACATTAACATGTAGTTTAAAGTAGCAATCCTATGTAAACAACAA